AACGTTTTGACAAGGTTTTGTCATCATCAGGTACCTTGTCAAAACCTTGTCGAAACGTTGTACATTTGCTGTTATATTAAAGTTTTTCTTCATTACCCATTCAAGCCGTCTCCAGCCATTATTATTTTCTTGTCAGTTCCATCTTATTTATAAAATATCACGCCCAACATTGGCATATCAATGAACGCAAATATTTCGGCAACTTCTGAAAAGATAATATATTTCACGACTCTCGATGCAAATAGTTCATTTGCTACAGTGGATCATGTATTAATCTATGACGTCATCTCAAGCCTCTGTCTCATTAGTGTCTTTTGTCTATCTAACTGTCAAACTAACCTTAACTTTTACTCCATTTACCCAAAATATCTCTCAGTTACTGGCAGAAATCCTCCAAAAGGACTTTTGATTATGACTAGAACAAGAGAAACATTAATTGCTACTGATGTATGATTGAAACATCTGAGGACTGTTAGAGACTTAAACTCTTTGTTTGATCTAAGTAGGAGCATCGCTTTTCTAATGAACAGAAAAAGTTAAACCCTTTGCTTTCAAATAGCGTAGTATATGTTAGATATTTCAAGGGCCCCAATCCAATCCCTTACCTGCATCCGTCGTCGTCAGTTCCAAACCTTTCCCTCAACAAATCCACCACCAATCGTCCTCTGTAGTACCTTGTGTGCTCTCCCTTGTCCATCCTTTCCCTGGAATAAAGCGTTTAATAAGTGGAGTTCTTTTCAGTGTATCTGTTGTGTTTTTATCGCAGCGGCGAGTCTGGAGCCGGTAAGACTGAAAACACGAAGAAAGTAATTGCTTATTTTGCAAACGTTGGTGCCAGCAGTAAAAAAGACGATCGAAAGAAAGGACGTTCCAAAAAGGTATTCCATCTGCATGTGTTCCGGAGACTGTTTCTCTTGTGAAATAAAAAAAAGGGAAACACAACTTGCACTCATTTTCTTTACACTCCCTGCATGACACTTCTAGGAGAATGATAAGAATTTTTCCCTTATGGGGATTATTCCGAGTTATATACTGCTTGTTTCCGGTTATTATAAAGAAGTTCATGTAGTCGTAAACCAAAGAGTCTTAGGTACAAAAATGGTAAAGAATGCTAATAATTATACACGTGAATTGTCTCGTAGGTTAATTTTGTCCTCCAAAACTCCAAGATACGACTCTTTTGGCACCAGAAAAATCTTCCAGATGTGGAAATATGTATACATTTTTACTAATATACCATGCATTTAGTTTATTAAGCGAGCGTTCTTTGTGTAAGTATAGTTTATTCAGTTTTACAGAAACAATAACAAGTAACGTTGAATTAATCCGTTTCAAATTATCAAAATGTGTGGAATTAACCAATCGATGCGATGACTATTAAACACCGACTTGACGTATTAGTT